TTTTTTTTTTTTTTTTTTGTACAAAATCTTGTGCTATTTTTATTCCATTGTGTTGATAAAGTGAAGGAAATGCCTCTAAAGAGGTTTTGTAAATAAATTCGTGGTTTTTTTTTCACTTTCTTTCATTGTTAGGCTAATTGGAATAAAGGGTCAAATAATTGTCCATATGAGTAAGAAAAAGTATTGGAGGCTTTAAGTAGAAAAGAATTGGTTGAATTTAGTTATGATGTCCCAAATATGAGATACTCCTTTGTTGAACATTTAAGATTTGAGGAACAAAGTTTGACTAACAAAATTAGGAATTCATGTATGTTTATTAGGGTTGTGCCACGTGGATATATATTGAGTAAATATTAGGGAGCTTTTAAAGAATTTGAAAATGTTAACCTATTTTTATGAACATTTGTTGAATGATTGCATGGGAAATGCTAACGGGATGATTCTATTGTCATTTGTAATAATCACATAAAATAGATAATTATTTCGTCGAAATTTATAACTCTTAGATCTATTATCTACAACGACATGATGATCTAACGACTACAAATCCCAACGAAATAATTTGCTAACAGGCTTGTATCATTTCCCATAATTCACAACGAACCAACATGATGATGTCACCATTTGTAACCACTAAATCAAACTCGCCCAATCCACAAATAAGCTACAAAACAAACAATAAAACGCAAATGCTGTAGAAGGTTGACTCGTGCAAGGCACCTGTAATTCTCTAACCTCTCTGTTGAGAAATGGAATCCGATCTCAGATTCTCCGATGTCGTGCTGGCGGGCCTTTCGACGGAAGACGAAAGGGGCAACAGGGTTTACCAAGCCGTCAACCGGAGCACCGGCGGGTTGCTCCTCGTGAAGGAATTCTGCAGCGGCAATAACCCTCTCAAAATTGCAGAAATCCGCCGCGAGATCGAAATCTTGAAGCTCTTGGATCATCCAAACATCTTGAAATGCTACGGCGCGTTCGACATGGGCGGCGGTACGATCCGTCTTTTCCTCGAGCACATCCGCGGCGGCGGACGAACCCTCGCCGGTTACAACGTCCCGAGTGAACGCGAGGTCGCCACCGTCGCCCGCCAAGTTCTCCTCGGGCTGCGGTATCTTCACGAGAAAGGGATCTCGCACGGAGATCTCAAACCCTCGAACATCTTCGTCGATTTCGGGAAGCCGACGGTCAAGGTTTTGTATCCGGGGAAGATTCTCGCCGGCGATGAAGTGGTGGTGCCCCAAGACGCCGGAGCCGTCCACGATGAGTTCAGTTGGGATGTTTGGAGCGTGGGTTTGTGCATCCTGAAGCTGGTCAGGGGATCGAATGTGCAGAAGCCATCAATGGCGTTGTTGGGTTTTCTGTCGAGTTGTATGCAGGCTGAGAAGGATGTGTCGAATAGATGGAGGGTCCAGGATCTTCTCGAAAGCTCCTTTTTGAAACAGCCGTATGTCGTGTTGCCAAAGGTTAGTATCTCTTCTAATTCATTCCATTAAAGCGAAGTTTCGATTTTCTTGAAGTTTGGAGATTTGTAGGTGCGATAAAGAAGTATATTTCTGATCAATCCATTGAAGCAAAGTTTCGATTTTCTAGCAGTTTAGGGATTTGTAGGTGCTTTAAAGAAGTGTATTCCTGGTCAAAAGAAAATTGGTTCAAGTATTTGTTCTGTTCTGTTGCCCTTTTTTGCTCAGAGTCGGAAATTTGGTTTGAACTCATTAGAGGCATCCATAGGTTACTGAATGTGCAAGTTTTTGTGGGTTTTGCATTGAAAAATGAAACGAATCAGGAGTCTATGTAGATTTTGATTTGATTAGTGTCTTACTTTATTCATCAGAATATTGATATCACTGTAAAACTCTGCAGCTAGAATTTTCTGCTTCACATGCTTCTGCATCAACTCTATCTCACAAAGGAGAGCAAAATAGCCCGAAAAAAAAGTCTTCAGTAACTTCTATGGCTGTCGAGCAGGTCCCAAAGGAAGTGAAAACCTCAGAAGACCCTTTAGGGATAGTACCTCAGATTCTTGAGAGATGCTATCTGCATTGTGTCATGTTACTTACAGATTGTGAATTCGAAAAGAGTAAATTGGTACAGATGTGGATTGCCGAAGAGTGCATCGAATTCGATGAGACAAAAATTATGGAGGATGTAGCTACCTTATACTTCGACGAGTTAGTGTATCAAGAGCTTGTAGTCCCTTCGAGCTTTGATCCTCTTTACGAAAAAATGAGATACAAGGTGAACTCATCGAAATCTCCCACTTTGATTGCAGAACAAGGTAGCTATACTAGAATAGGCGAAAGTGATATGGATAAAATTCCTCGAGAAGCCTTGCATTTGATATGGGATTGCAAAAGACACGACCAAACCATATTTGATGCTCTCAAAAATCTGAAGCAGTTACGCACTCTGCGTGTGCATGTGTATTGCAGTGTTCGAATCGATCATTTACTCAGTGACATTTTTGTGTCCTTAAAGTTGTTAAGGACATTGGATTTGAGCCACACTCAGATATTCGAAATACCAGGTTCGATTAGATTAATAGAAGGATTGCGATATCTTGATATCTCTGAGACACCTGTCAAGCAGCTACCTCAGTCAATCGACTGTCTTTATTCTCTACAGACGCTAAATCTCAGAGATTGCTTCGAAATTTCTGCTTTGCCGAAGGGGTTAGGTCGGTTAACGAACCTTCGTCATCTTGATCTTAATGTTATCGGTCAATTGGAGTTTATGCCTATTGGAATGGGAAATTTAGTTAAACTTCAAACTTTACAGGCATTCATTGTCGGTAAAAACGATGGTTGTGGCATTGGGGAGCTGAAAAACATGAACGATATTACGGGTTCTTTTTGTATTTTGAAGCTCGAAAATGTGTTGAGTGTGGAGGAAGCAAAGAAAGCTGCATTGTGTGATAAAAAACGGATCGATAAACTGGAGTTGAGATGGCAAGTAGTTTGCAGTTCCATAGAGGTAATGGAAATCTTGGAATGTTTAAACCCACATTTTAGCCTAAAAGAGTTGCAGATAACGCATTACGGTGGTTTGAAGCTCCCGAGTTGGATAACCGATCCTTCTTACGCTTATCTCGCTAGCATTACTCTCTACAAGTGTATGAATTGTGATATATTGCCTCCCCTTGGAAAACTACCTTCTCTTAAGATTCTCCACATTGTGGAGATGAAAAGTTTGACGAAAATCGACACGCTATTCTGTCGAGATTCTGGAGTTAAAGTACTCGATGATGTATCTCTTAAGCTAGAGAATGCTTTTTCGAAGCTAGAGAAATTGACGATTGAGAATATGTCGGAGCTTGAAAAATGGACAGTCATAGAGGATGGGGACTTTCCGTGCCTTAGCCATGTTTCGGTTAGATACTGCCCGAAACTTTATTTTCTACCGTCATTTTCGTGTCTGCGCTCGCTACAGCATTTGGAAATAAACAACTGTGTGAAGCTGCTTTCCTTGCCGGAAGGTTCGTTGCCGGCATCACTCGAGACTGTGATAATAAAAGGATGTCCGAATATAAACGAGCGGTGCCGCAAGGATGGAGGAGGAGAGGACAGTTTCAAGATTGCAGAGGTTAAAAATGTGTGGATTGATTTTGAAAATATTTCTTTGAATTGATGCTTTGTACAGTAAAAGTTGGGTTTCTGAAGAATATATGCTGTGGTTTCTTTGCAGTGTCTTTTGTTGTTTAATCCACTAGGTATCATAAAAATTTGTACACCTCTCTACATATTTCATTGTCATTAATAACAATGTTTTAAGGTAAACAATGGCGCCACATAATGAACTTAGGATAACAGTTTCCACAAACTTTCGATGTTTATGATTACAGTGGCCAGAGCTAGGCTTGTAAACGAGCTCGAGCTTGAGCCCTTAACTAGTCAAGCCGAGCTCAACTTGTTAAATAAACGGCCCTGAAATCAAGCTCGGGCTCGGCTCGTTGATCACTATAACGAGTCGATCTCGAGCTTTAACGAGCAAAACTATATAAAATTATATGAAAATTCTCTTTTCGAGTCCTTAACGAGTTGAGCTCGACTCATTAACCAAACGAGCTTTAAATGAACTCAAACTCGACTCGTTTATCGAACGAGCCGAGCCAAACTCCAGCCTTAACGAGCCGAGGCGAGCCAGACTTGTTTAATTTAACAGCACTAGCCAGAGCCTGCAAACTCATAGACTCACAAACAACATCATAAATCAAACTTGATAAACCAGCCGAACCGAACTTGAGCCTTAACGAGCCGAGTCGAGCCGAACCAGACTTGTTTAATTTAACACCACTAGCTAGAGCCTGCAAACTCAGAGACTCACAAACAACATCATCAATCAAAGTGGGGCTTTGCACGCACGCGTGCACAAACACAGATATTGATATAAATGCCACCAAACACAGTGATAAGTGAACACCAACTACACACACACATAAAATTCTTACCATACAAACACGATATAATACAAATTTAAAGTGGCAATTATATCAAACTTGTTCCTCCATGTTATCCACGTTTTGCCTCGTGCATGTATGAGAATGTATGTATTCAACCCTGAATTCACATGGTTCAGTGTGAATCCTCTGAACAGTTTTTGCAGCCTGACAGCCTTGACTGTACTTATGCCCACATCTGTAATATGATCTGCACATATATAAAAGATTTCATCTAGTCATCTCGAATTTCCAAGATATTAAGGCACCCAAACAAGCATCGAATTCCAAGCTACTTGGCATCCATAGCTGTTGTGAACAATTCATGCAATTTAAAGTTTAAACAAGCCCTTACACGAGACACCATACAAGATTAAAAAAAAAAAAAAAAAAAAAAAAAAAAAAAAAAAAAAAAAAAAAAAAAAAAAAAAAAGAAGAAGAAGAAGAAGAAGAAGAAAATAAAAGAAAATGGTTTCACCAACTCATGTGCAATAATTATGAGCACAATTGTATCATCACCTTGGATATTCGCTGTTGAAAATCACTTTATGGCCATACTTCCTCCAAGTGTATCCATCGTCACGCGACAAATCAGAGACTGATACTACCCGTGTATCTACGTTTGTACGCCTGCTAAGCCAATCATCCAAAAATCTTAAAGAAAAATCTCTTTGAAGATGAATGACTTCCACTAAGATATTCTTTGAAACATAGAAAGGGATCTTTACAAAATTGTTAAAGATGATCTTGAATTGTGTTTCGTGTTTATTCCCCTCATTTCAAAACAGCCCTTCATATTCATTGATAGAAGGAATAATTTATAATAAAGAAATGTTAAAATTAATTTTAAAGTTAAGTAGCCTTATTTATTTTTTTTTTTGTCCCCTTTCTTTTAAGCATAATATATCCAATTAAAGACCCTCTCATAATATGTCTGTGTGTGTATCTGTCTGCGTGTGTGTAATAATATATATATATATATATATATATATATATATATATATATGTTGCTAATTTTATATACTCCACCAGCCAGGCTACCCAAGATAGGCTTGAAGAAAACATAGATCAAATCACGGAAATAAAGAAAAAAAAAAAGTAACTAGGGTTGCACACAAGCCTTAGTCATCTGATGAGTATTAAATAACATAAAAACAGAAATAAGCTCATTGCTAGGAATGAATGAACAAGAAAAACCATTCTTAGGCAGACGGAAAGAATAATAACAATTATGTAAAAAGTTATTAATCGAAATAGTTGATACTGTATATTAATATGATCTATTCAATATTTCTATGATTATAATCAATATGAAGTCCCAATTATATACTATATTTTGTAACTGTGAAGTTGGCTGAAATATTTGTAATCGCGAAAGTTAGCTGTGATTTTTGTAATTGGGTCAAATCTCAAGCGCACTTTTTGTAATCATCGCAAAAATAGAAATCACCTTCTCTTTGAACTCCCAGCTGACGGGATTTCATGGGTGAAAACATGGTCGAGGGAATCTTCTATGTTCTCGGGCATGTACATTAATTCATCAAGAATCGACAGAGCTTCTTCGTAAGAAGTCAACATTTTATCCAGAGCTCTCCCTTGGTTTCCATCAGAAAAAGAACCAAAAGCAGCATCTCTGAGACGCTGCACTTGGTCTCGTCCTTTCATGAGCTCATTTACGAGCTTCCTGTATCCCTCATGCGACTCGCTCGACATGCTGTTACCTGAAAAGATGTCGAGAGAGATAAAAACGCTTGAATGTTATGTGTTAAAACATATTGGACGTGCTCTACCTGTGATGTGTTTCAGCAACTGAACTCCCATTACTTTTTGCCACTAAATATCTCAACTAAAAGACAACTATCCCCATTAGGGCATCCGTATTGGTTTAACAAAATTTTCATTCATTCAATTAAAAAGTTACACTCTCTCTCATCCACATCATCTTTCCACCAAATATCTCTCCATTTAAACACACACCCACATTCATACCCCATTCATTTAAATACATATGTGGGACCCATTAAAACAAAAAAATAAATTTTAAAGGAATGAACATTGTAGTGGACCCATTAAAAAATAATATTAAAACAAAAACAAAAACAAAAAAAAAGTGGCTGCTGAACGTGTTCAAAGGAATGAACGTTGTAGTGGACCCCTCCATTTAACAAATGAGCCACATCCGAATTAATGGGGCGAGGGCGTTTAAACGGTGGAAATAAACGAGCCGATGTAGATGCTCTTAGAGTTGAAATCGAGGTTTGAGAAGAATCAGTTCAAAGAAGCTAATGTTAGTTATATACTCCCTTCATCCTATAGTACATATTTTGGAATTAATTGTGCAGTATTAGTTTCACACTCCCTTCATCGTATAGTTTATATTTTTATTTCAGGTGTCTCAATAGAAGCGAATATTTTCTACTTTGGATATAGTATTAAGCTTAGATACAAAAGAAATAGAGGAATATAGTTATTGAATAAAATAGTAATTAACTTATAGTAGTACTACTTTCCAAACAACAATTATTGTATTTTTTTCCACTTGTATAGAAAGTAACATAAACTTTAGAGAATTGAATATCAATCTCCTCTGGCATCTCGTCATCTACATTTCTCATACCACTCGTCCATAAACTTAAAGAACCATAACAATTACCCTAAGTTTGGCCTACAACTAATAGGAGAACTAGCATAGCTATTACGTGCATTACAAAGTCCCAGAAATAATTTCATATCATGAAAGATAGAGAACTTGTACTTATTGAGACCTAAATTTTACTTAAACGAGAACATGAAGATGTGGTCATTTTGCTTATAACTTATACCATATTGTTCGAGTTTCATATTTAATCATTCTCAACAGATCATGACACAACAAATCAGAAATTCATTTAACTGGTATAAACTAGATACCACTGTTTCTCTTGGGTTTCATCTCTAGCCTACCCCAACTTGTTTGGGACTAAAAGGCTTTGTTGTTGTTGGTATAAACTAGATAGAAGGTAAACAAGATTGGGAAAATCATCAAATGTGACAATTTTCAACCCGGGTGGATAAAACTGTAAACGAAAAATTGTTGCTTACTATACATAAATTTGTTGATTATCATCAAATGTTCATTATATAAACTTGCTCAGATACCTACAGGTGACCATCACTTTAGAGTATATGGCTCATAATATGGCTTGCAAATTTCTGTACTTTCAATAAGCCATCAAGAATAAATCAACCTGACGCTGAAATGGAAAGAGTAATAAATGCTGAAATTATGCCATACAATGCATCTTCCTAGAAAAGAGTGGGGTCAGTAATCCAGAAAAATTAACACGAGAGCCGGATACACGAATTCAGCTAACTTCAATCGAGCATTTACCTCTTATATTGGCCTTCAATCTACATATTCCCCATAATTTCCTGAACCTTAAAAGGTTACAATTATGACATACAAAGGATCTTTCTAGAAGAAAGTGGGATCAGTAATCCAGAAAAATCAACAAGAGAGCCCGATACACGAATTCAGCTAACTTCAATCGAGCATTTACCTTTTACCTCTTATATTGGCTTTCAATCTAATTATTCGCCATATTTTTCTGGACCTTAAACGTTACAATTATGCCATACAAAGCATCTTCCTAGATGAGAGTGGGATCAATAATCCAAAAAAATCAACACGAGAGCCCGATACAAAAATTCAGCTAACTTCAATCGAGCATCTACCTCTTATATAGTTATATTGGCTTTCAATCAACATACTCCTCACAATTTTCTGAACCTTCGAGGGGGTGATTAAACTAGAGAGATACTAATAAGATCCATACAGGCACGACCTTCATTTACTAGAGCTTGTGAAGAATAATCCTACAATGAAAATCATGTGATGCCATGGTTTGATGAGTGTTTGCAAAACCATTAGTTTCTGGAA